CTTGACAGGAAAGTGAGTGAGTTTAGAATTGTTTCATGCACTCGATTGCAGATACCGCCTATTAAAAGTATACGAAACATTTATTACAACAAAATAGAACAATATGACGACGAATATAGTTTATGGATTATTTTTTTTTTTTGCAGCCCACGTGAACGTATTTTTAAAGTTGAAGCAAGAAGATAGCAGCCAGCCATCTTGGTATTAAACTCCAGGCGTGACCAGACAAGGGGACGATGAGAAGAGAATAAAACCGACAAGTGAAAAATGGAGACGCTATGTCAGCGCTGAAACAAAAGTGGAAGGAAAGGAAATGCAGCATCTACTAAAGTGAGGAACACCGAGAAAACAAAATCATAACTTTAAATTACATTTTATAATATTCTGCGAAGCAACTCGCATTCTGGTTGGTATAACGTCAAATCTGCAGGAGTATATTTCTGAATATAACCGTCGGGATACATGACCAACTCAGCGACGTAATGTCGCTTAGAAATACATTTTCAGCTATTGACAAAAAATTAAAAATTCAATCATAAGATAAAATTGAAAGTTGGATTAAAAGATGGACAGTATACAAGGATAAGAAGAATTACTCAGTATATGAAAAAAATGCCAAACTTTCTAAATGTCTCATCATGTTCATTGCTCTATATGTATTTTTTAAAACAGAGGATATATTCGAAGACGGACACCACGTTTATTCCGTGTGTGTGTGTGTGTGTGTGTGTGTGTGTGTGTGTGTGTGTGTTTGTTTGTGTGTATTTTTAACTTATGTTTATCCATTTTCTGACATATAGCTACGGTATCTGCAGTGTCGCAGTTTACAGTGCTGTCAAGTAATGGGGTATCATTTAGCCGACAATAATGTAGCATCGTGTCCCACCAAGTCACCATGACGACCAGTCCTTACACTAACCTCTTAATTCTGAGCACCATGTGAACTAGGCAGCTACTAGTACCATTTGTATAAGACTTGGCCGAGGTTCGAAGCGGCGACTTCCCGCATCCCAGGCGGGCCTCTAACCAATTAGGCCACTAGAGCGGTTTCTTGTGAGGAAACCCCGGGTTATATAAATAAAGTCTGAGCTAAAATCTGCAGTTCTCCATTTCATAAAATCTTTCAAAATGTAGTTAGCTATTTTCATAAACAGAATCGCAGTTGTTGATGGTATTAATGGTATTGTTGATGGTATTAATCAACTAACAATTTTTTTTATCGAAAACTGGATAAAGTGATTTAATAAATCTGATGTAATCTTTTTATAAAAATTGCGTCAATAAAACCACTACAACCACTGCACTACTACTACTGCTATTTGCATAATAATAATAATAATAATAATAATAATAATAATAATAATAATAATAATAATAATAATAATAATAATAATTATTATTATTATTATTATTATATTATTATTATTATTATTATTATTATTATTATATTATTATATTATTATTATTATTATATTATTATTATTATTATTATTATTATTATTATTATTATTATTATTATTATTATTATTATTATTATCATCATCATCATCATCATCATCATCATTATTATTATTATTATTATTATTATTATTATTATTATTATTATTATTATTATTATTATTATTATTATTACGGATATCTCAAAACGAGAATGGGAATCATCGAATCGGCTGGTTGGTATTATCGTATCACCTTATTAAATAGATGCTCCTTTTTAATATTCATTTAAAATGCAAGCATTTAGAGCTTAGGAAATATGTATAATTATATAAATATGTATAATTATATAAATATGTATAATTATATAAATATGTATAATTATATCGTGAATTAGAAAACAATACTTTTGTTCGAGTGTTAAGGTGTTAGCTCGTCCTGTGGACCAACGTTTAACTTTTCGCCTTTCTCTGAAGTCAGGACCCCGGGTGAGCAAGTGGTATGAAGCGCTCGCCTTTACAGATCACTCGTTTCTCACCCCTGTCAGAGTGAGTTCGAGTCTTGGCTCGGCCAGAAAGCTTGCCAGTTGCTTACCGTTGGTGTGTGAGTTTTCTCGGGGTTACACTGGTCTCCATGTATGGCGCTGAGCCGACAAAACTACATTCCCTGAAGCCACAACATCATTGACGATATTTCTTACTCCATCCACCTGTCATTCAACCTTAATATTTTGCGAATTTCAGTGGGTAGCCACCAACACTACCGATGGCTAGGTGCGAGCCATTAATAATTATAGCTACCTTATAACGTACTTCAATGAGTTCAACTGCGAATTGCACATGCACAAATCTGCAGGCGCATCTTGCGCCTTTAGATCTGAGTGTTGTAAGGAGTAATCAGTAGGGGAAAAAAAATAGAAAACACCGACCCTAATCTGCAGGCGCATTATACTACGGCAGATTAGAGTAATTATTGTTTGCAGTTTACATTGACTTATAAGCGCTTATATACAGTTCTTTGAAAGCTAGACAAAGTATTCTGAACTGGTGATCCAACGTAGAGAATATTGCTACCATTTGTAATATAAAGATCTGATGTAAACTTTGTAAATGTTTGTTTATAAATTTATCTAAGATAAGACTGGCATTATCGTTTAAAATGATTTATATTTCAAGTAGGCACGTTTATCTCCGCTCTGACCATAGGTTAATTTGCAATAGACTTTTATAAAATCTTTATACTTTTAACAAATGTCAATACTGTGTTTTGTTTAGTCTCTATCGACTTTTCGTTATCTAATTTCAGCCGTATATAAATGAAAAGCTGAATCAGCATAAATTATGATGCCATTGTAATGATGTCGATGATTGCTTTGTACGTAAATTTAATGGAGCATGGGTTTTCATTTTTCGGCTTCCCACCTAGTCGGTTAATCATCTAACATGAAATATGCAACTATACTAAATAAATGCCAGGATGGTATGTCAATGTTTATAATCAATTGCAAAGGGTTGGGAGTCCCCTTAGATATACACCCCTTTGCTAGTACATGCTTAACCAATCATTACTTAAAGCACAAAAACTGATATTGGTTATTAGTCTTTCGTTTGTTTATTTTTTGCGGAGGGGGAAGGGTCTTTTGTTTTTTAAATGGAAGCTTTGAACTCGACTGACAAAATTAAATTTGTGAGCCAACAGACTGACATTTATAACACTGACATATTCGATTTTGTTGGAGTGGAACGGGGGCGGAGGAAAATAGGTAATGCTGTAAAAGCTTGGTTTAGGGTTACCAAAATACCAAATTATGTGTGCACTGAAACAGATAATATTCATAAATGTAGTTCTTCAGGACATCCTTTATTATAAGTGTATGAATTTCAGTACTTATGTAAAGGATTATTTACATACAAAACAATTCTAGGTGAAATCAGGTAAACCAATTAGCAAGGGTTTGGAATTTTATGACGAAATTATGAACTCGTGTTATTTATTCTTTTCAAAATGTAATTTGTAGCATTCCTACTGTAGTCACTGTAAAACATGCTTTTATTTTCAATCAAGATTCTTTTCCCACTTTCTGACGTTATGTTTTCAAAAAGAAAATGTCTCATTTTCAAAATGCTTTTAATTGGCAATAATCACAGCTTCTCGACAACTTCTAAAGTTGTATACTCTTAATTTAATTTGTCTTACATCTATTACCAGGAGAAACCCTGTTAAGAACCATCGACCCACAAGCAGCTACTGGCAAGATTTATCACAGACGCAAAACATTAGGTAAAGCTGTCTTTACATTTACAGAACCTAAAATTACTTTTCGGTTGGCACATTTTCATCTAATATTATGTGCCTCTTGCCCCCAAGTACTCAAGAAATACGTTTCTCAGTCAAGCAGACTTCTTCTTCAGAGAGTAATTAACCCTTTCATTTTATCTTGCTCGCTGTTGTGAATTAAATATAATAAAGTAGAGGAGTGTGAACATTTCCATTTATAATGACAGAAATTTAAAAATGATGCTTGTTTTAATGGTTGCGAGTGAAAATATATGAATTGGCAAAAAATTTGTATAACAAGCATCATTTAATGTCTAACAAGAACAAATGAGTGATCGATTTACTAACAGTCACTCAGAAGGTTAAGGACTAGAGCCAAGGATAACCCAAATCTCCACACGACCACACACGGAACGCGTGAGTTTCTTACATATATGTGTGCATGTGCTTGTAATACAACCTCTCGACGGATAATAGTTTCAGGAATGTTAAGATGTCCGTAAATCCTTCTTCACATACCACCGATAATCCAGAGATTGTGTTCAGAATAATCTAGACTGCTAAGCAATAATGATATACTCTTTCATAGACAAGGTGTTTAATTAATAAAGTACGGTGCTCTTCTCCAAAACCCCGTCGAAGATGTTTGTTTTCACTTAACTGCGTGCAAATCATATATCTTTGATTTACATTTGGTGTTAGTGAGGACTTTTCAGACAGAACTATGATATACAATCTGTATTCAGCTTTATGACCAGCGTATCCATTCTTAATTTATAGTATTTCTTCAACTTATCTGATATTCAGTGGCGTCACTGGGGTTGGTGTCACCCAGTGCGGTAACTCATGATATCAATCCCATTGACCTCCTTCCTACACACAAATTCAAGCATTTTTAGACAATCATGTGCGGGAACACGTGGCGTCACCTCCATGGACCTCCTATCCTGCACAAAATTTCAAAAATTTTAGAGACAGTCATTTTGGTGTCACCTCCTCTGATGGTGTCAACTGGGTGCGGTCCGCAACTCCGCACCCCCTAGTGATGCCACTGCTGATGTTATTGATATTATTGATGTAGTGCTGAGTTAGCTGGGGGGGGAAGCTGATCATAAAAATGGTTAGTTTATGGCAAATTGTGTCCATAGAATAGATGTTACCATTGAATTTTTAAGGGATATTATATACCTGTAACTTTTAAGTGTTGAATATTTGTATTACGAAATTACCTGGATATTATATATCAACAAAAATACAGGTGGATTTTGTTTCCGCCTAGACTGCACGATTGGCATAGTGGTTAGAGCGTTAGCCTCAGATGCGAAAGGTCGTGGGTTCGAACCCCGGCCAAGTTATACAAAAGAATTATACAAAGTCATACTTATAAAAATGGTACTAGCAGCTGCCTTGCTAGATATCATTACAAACAGACACACTTCAGACATCGTTACGATATGACTAAAAAAATGTGAAAGCTACGATAAAAATCCAACACACACACACACACACTGGGTTGATCAAGTATGTATTGTTTTTAACCTTGACAAGTTCGAAATACCAGGTTTGCTTACTTGCTGCAGCAGGCATAAATTAAGCGCTGGTCAAGAGGGGCCCATCTATGGCTGTAGATTTGACCTCGATAATAGTAGAACTCATTGTTCTATTTTTCTTGGTATCATCAAGATACAGATCCGTTTTGTCAAGATGCTGTACATTTTAGGGAGGCATTCTTCAAATATTTTAGCGGTATGTGAAATGGATTAATGTCGTTCCATATGTTACACATGATGAAATTATTGACAAATTTGAATGTTTCGGAATTCACTCTAAATTTCTCTGAAGTCAGATCTATTTCAAATAACGCCATGTATCCGATATAATAAATTTGTTATAAGTTAAACATTTTACGATGAAGAGAAAAATTTGAATTCATTTATTGTACGCAATAAAGGATATGAAAGGTTCGAGTTATGTAGTCCCGTACGATCATTCTAGTCGGAGACACGCATGAACACGGCTAGTATATTAATAATCTCATGCAATCGTTATTTTCAAGGGTTTAATGTGTAAGGAAGTCATTACGCATGTACTCATGCGTAATGTATATTACTTTGGGGTCTTTTTTACTCAAACGTTTTACGTTTAGAACACGACTCTATTATGTTATTATATAACGAAGTGTGAAATAAAAACTTATGGCAAAATATTTTTCATACCTTTTTATCGCTCCTATATTTTCACATGTGGAAAAAGATCCTATTATTTTCACATGTGAAAAGTAATTCATTGTCTTTCCACATGTGAAAATGTAAGATTTTCTATCATGTAAAAATGTAAGATTTCCTATCATGCCATGCGACGCTTGAATCTGTGTTCTTACAAAAGTTGTAACCGCAACAACTAAAACGAGTGAGCTAAAACAAATAAACAGAAATAGTCTACCATTTCAGATATGGAAATTAATCTTTGATAACGGAATTTTTACTAGAAGTCGTCAGTGTATCTGTGAATTTATTTGTCTTTACTTCCTTGATAACAACGGCAAACCCGCTGTGATTCAATGCAACGTAATCCTACCGCTTTCTTACATGTCATATATATTTAAATGAACGGGCTTTGAAAGTGAGGTTAATTACAAAAAGGGGGTTGAGTGAGCTTTCGTGCCGAAGAGGGAGCTTAATCTTCTAAATTTAGATTCTGCAGCAAGTTTTGTACATAATAGAACGAAAATTTTATTTTTCTGTGTCAATACCGGAGATATTTCCTCTTGAGGCAACACCTATATGTTTTAACTCGTGGCTTCGCATTCGATAAAATGTCGTGTTTTGGTACCACACGATGTAATATATCTGGTATTAGAGTAGGAAATGAAAATGTCCTCTTTGTATTTTTTAGATGTAACGGGGAGCCGCCGTTACGCAGCCAGGACACTTCGGTGGTGGAGAAGTTGGTTCAAGAGACAAAACTAATTAGCTCAATGTGAGGAACCAGAGCGTATGAATCAAGGTCTGCGGGTTAGAGATGTTATAGAGAGATCATTCGGCAAGCTGGGAGATGCAGACAATGGCATCACTTGGGTTGGTGTCACCCATTGCGGTAACGCATGGTGTCACCCCCATGTACCCCCTTCCTGCAACAACTTGTCAGAAACGGCCCTAGGATGTGCGGGGCCCAAAGCAGCAAGCGATGAGCGGGACCCCAAACAAAACAGTGCTCTGTGAAGTGGATATCCGTCAGCAGCGCGAGCCTCTAAAAAAAAAAACCTAGTTCGCCTTGCCATTGGGCATGACCTGTAGACAGTCATGTACGGTAACTGACTGTGTCACATCCATGGACATCCTTCCTACACAAACATTCAGAAATTTTAAAGACAAGTCATTTTGTGTCACCCCCTCTGATTGTGTCACCCGGTGCAGTGAGCCTACTACCCCACCCCCCAAGTGACGCCACTGGATGAAGATCATGCTAGTTCACTCTAAACCACCTGTCGGTATCTGTGGATAGGAACTATCACGTTTATATGCTTATCAAAGTGTATTATTTCGCATTGATTTCAATATTGATTCAATTGCTGAAAGTTTTATTGAACCTTCTCAAGCGTAAATGATTATTTTCCAACGTACTCGCGCACAGCATAATGGGTGATTTTGCTACCACAGACTTTGAGACATGTAAATCGCGTCTGACTTTAAGAACGTGTTTTCCCTCTCACGCACATTGCTTTATTGATATCTTCGATGATCTGGATACTGTGTCCATACGATGCATGATTACACTTGGATTGCGCTACGTGCATTGATGATCGGTAGGCCTGAGCATGGATTTCTGGAAATTCTTACATCAGACAAACAATTGATCTCATCAAGTATCTAGACCAAATATGAATGCAAGTCTGAGAGAAGTCGTTTTCTTTCGAGTGGTATCACTTTAGCCATTTCATCCAGACTTTCAACTGTTGCCGCATGTCCTCGCTTATAATTCGAGACCAGTTGTAAACTACACATATCCAGGTCTGCTTTCGCATAATAGGCCGATAGATCTGGGTATATGCAATTTGCTAGGGGTAATCGGAAGTGCAAGTAAGAATGACATTGACATACCGACGCATTATGTGACGGTAGATAAAGGTCTACGTTGTGTGCATTTGGACGCTATTATATGCGGTACTTCTCAAGTTATGCTTATTGTTGTTTATCTTTATTATATTACTACATGTAACTGCATTTCATATTTCAGAGGTTTGACATCATATTAAGGTTAAAACCATTGACAGTGTGATTTGTTTAACAGAATACTGGCTTGCTGCTGACTTACAAGTATTTGCACATGAGCAAGATAACAAAGCAAGATCAAAAGCGAGAAAAAGCGCGTCCCAGACAGCGGATTGTCTCCATAATTAGCTCTGTCTAGAAATTCAAATTTGTGTAGCTTTGGGGAGATGAAAAAATGTTTAACGTTTTGTGTTTGCAAATAAATCAATAGCTTTTTGAAAGAATGGCTGCATGTGTGTGAGACAAATAATTATGAAAACCTTATTTTTTTTTCTGTCATTTTTCCTTTCAATAACATTTAACAATGAGAATCCATTATTTGGAAGAGCTTTTTCATTCAAAGAGCTTTTTTACATGATGTTTATCTCAATAAGTCATTAAAGTTAAATGAAGAGAGAAATCTCCTCAAACGTGCCAACTTCTATTTGAGAGTCAAAACTCAATTTTCTTTTGTTTTTGTAACTCCTTTTATATTAAGTCCTTTGGGGCATAAAACCCTCCCTCTCAACAAATTTTTAAGTTAATACTAATTTTTTAAACTCTAAAACATATACCTTTTTACGAATGGCACTTCACTTGAAAGGGATATATAGTAAATAAAAAAGACAAAAATCAAATGCTATAACCCATGAAGATAGCTAGGCAGAACTGGTTCCATTTCCCTTCACCGCATGATGAAAAATGAATTACGACGCGCATGGTTCGTAATGATACATGTGTACGTGACGAAAAGCACCACTGTGGTTAATGCTGAAGTACTGGATATATTGACCCAATAAATCAAATTGAATTTTGTATAACGAAAGCCTAGACGGCTTGGTTTTTGTTCGCACCTTTACACTTTTTGTAGAGATATGTCTGTTTCTTTATGTTTCACATCAATGAGACCCATTGTGTATCTGATCCAAAGCACTACACAAATAAATATTTTAATTTTCCGACCATAATTTTAAATTCCAAATGTTATAATTATTTTACCATAGTAGGTTCGCCAAAAGAAAAGAACGTGTTTATTGACTATGCAACACCCCTACATGACTTCGATCGAAATTGTTTTTGTTCACAGAAGAAGTGTCAGTTTGTGTGATGGCTTTCTTGGATCTCACTATGGCGGTATTTTACAGTTGAAACAGCTCGTCATATACGTGCTTCTTGTCACTTCACAAAATAAGTACTGTGGCAAAGAGTTGAATAAAACAAATCCATAAGTGGGTGAAATCAAAGCAAATCGTGTTCAACAACAGTATATGGTATCATATCTATCAATATACGTACTGAAAAGAGTGTAAATAGCAATGCAAAGATTTGATTATAACTTCAAGGAAACGTTAGTAATGATACAGTTGAGATACACTTGTCGAAATTAATTTGTCAGGGATTGACATAGCACAAACTAATGTTTCTAATTTTGTTTAAAATGCTTCTTATATAGCTTCACATATAATCTTCTTTATGCACTTAATTTCATTCAAGTTCAATATGTGCTTATTAATTGAATTAGTTTTGGAAATGAAATGATTCATTGGATCACGTGTACCTGGCAAAGCAATCCGAACATTTATTTTCCCGCCACCTGGAGATCAATCATATGTATCATTCTTCGAAAGTATAGTAGTCTATAAGCTACTATGAGCTGCCCTTTGCACCACCTAGTTTGTTACGAAACAATGATTGACCGGAAATTTGCAAATAAACTGGACTATTTTTTCTTCTTGCCGTTCACAACTTTTCATAGTCTGATTTCTTGCAACGTATGCTGCCAGGGTAACCCACTACTCCACTACAGGAATAGCGGTGTGCAACGCTTGAGAGCCTAATAAACAGGTAACCCAAGACTTTTCAGGCAATCCTACCGTCAGCCGAATCACAGAAGTAACCCAGATAATCCGTACAGATTGCGGTCCCTTTTAGCGAAAAAAGTTCAGGCGAACAATAAGTAGGACTTTACACTAAATTACTGCACCGACAAATATCGCAGGCGTACTTTTGTCTTACAGAAATAGTATCGGCGAATAGAATGATAAATAGTAGTTATTTTAAACTGACCTCAAGTCTGTGGATAGTATTAGGTCGTGAATATTAATTGTC